ATAACAGAGCCTTCCACAACAGCCTTCCAAGGACTACGAGCAGGAGCACCCATTCCCTTTCTTTTTTCTTGAGTGATGTGAAAGACACACTGCAGAACTCTGGGATAAACCATCCCAATCTCCCTCCACACCTACGCTACTCCTGATCTAAGTATCTTCTGGTGATGTATGAACAGATCCTAGATAGACTATATCAAGGCTGCTCCAAAAGTAATGCCTCCTGTTTTATTATGTTGCCCCATGACATCAGAGGTGGATGTTGGTTATACAGCAGTAGAAGTTGAACCTTCCTGTCAATATTTTGTTCCACGTTGCCACATGACAGACAGCAGCAGAGCGCCTGTCTGACAAAGCAGAGTTTGACATGAAAGCGCAGATGGAGCAAAGGTGTGCAGACAAATGTGGAAAAAATTGCACCCGCTGACATTCATTGATGCTGAATGTTTATAGAGACCAAATGGTGGACGTGAGCACAGTGAGGTGGTGGGTGGTGCGTTTCAGCAGCAGCACAGCAGGCTGCCTCTGATTTGTACCAGTGTGACAGGCTGGCTTTTGTTCATCAGTAGCAAAAACGCAGAGTTAATGGTGGTGACTACATTGAAAAATAGTGTTTTGTAGCTGAGAATTTGCTCTAGCAAATAGCATTATTGTGCTCTTGGAAAATGTTGCAGTTTCCATGGAAATAAATGGGAGGCGTTACTTTTGGAGCAACCTGTGTACAGCCTTGCTGCCTCTCTAATTGCACAATAACAGTGCACTCTCATGAAACTCTCTGAAGCGGTGCACTTTAAATGTTGGCAGATATGTATCTCTTTAAACTTGCTTTGAGAAATATTGAGAGGAAGTAATATTTCAGCCAAAGATAAGCAGAGGAAGCAAACTCACATTTACCACAGCAGAGAGAGTTAAAAGTTGGATATTGCCACAGAAAAATTCTGCTCTCTCCATTCCATTTCTCTTTAGACCGAGATTGTAACTCCTCCTTCAAATCCATTTATTAGTATTATAATTACAAATCCAAATAATTAATCTGCTAAAAAAAAAAAATATTACATATTTAAAACGTTATTCTAAAGAAAGGGAACACAACTAAATCCAGTACACACGAATGAATTTCCAATAAATAGCAGCAGAATCTTTTGGAATTAGAAATGCATCATTCAACATGTAATTCATAATGGCAAATACCATGCTCACATCTAAATGTCTCCCTGTCCTTCCAACACCTCACTGCTCTATGCAGGTAGCCGATCATCTCTGAACATCAAACACAGTTGGAAATTTTCTTGAAAACATTTCCAGACCTTTATAAGTAGCAAAAGATCAGATATTTGAATTTTAAAAGCAGGCAGCATTTTCTACTACCTCCCATATCACTGCTTCTGTCAAAACATAAGAGATATCAATACCACCTTAAATATGCATTCAAGTCCTTGTAGAATGCTGAATTATAGATTTCAGCAAGTGGCATGAAAAGATTACTCTTCCATTGCTGTTAAAATAAGAAAAATCAGACAAGCTTCTCTTTCTTAATATTTGAAGATAACCATCTCCTGTTAGAGAAACTTAAAGCTATGAACTGGCTTTTTCTATTTCAAAATCATTCTGAACTACAACCATCAATCCAAAAGGAGTATATTTTCTACGTATCTTTTATTCTTCAACAAAATAAGACATTCACAGGTACTTAAATCAATTAAGACACGCAGAGTAACTTCCAGCAGCTTCCAATCTCTTCACATAAGCAGAATTTTCCTATTTTCATGCAAACAGTCTAGCATTTCAGCTAACTTTTCATAACGCAGAAGCCATCAGTGTTCGTTAGCCTCATATGTAACCAATATTCCAATCTGCAAAGAGCTCTGTGTATTCAACAGGACCATGCAAAGGCCTGAGAGACCCCTGAGCTGGAGGTCACTGCAGGATAACGTTCTCTCAAGCACAGCAGTTACCTCGTGCAAATGAGTCACTTCTCCCATCACCCTGCAAATTCTAATTTGATAATTATGGTGATTATCAGTTAGCACCTCACCACTACTTGATGACACACAATGACTTAAGGCTAGCTAGCATCTAATACTCATGTTCAACAAACATGCCATAGAGAGAGGCATCATGGCAGAAGATAACAGACATCTCCTTACTTCTATATGTTGAAGTATTCAGACTCTTACACACTAATTTTCATGACATTTCACATTCCCAGATGGACCAGTGTGGTAAGCAGGGTGAGACATGCACACAGTATGAGGGGTGTCTATGCAAGACCTGCAACCAGAAGAGCAGTGGGAGCACAGCTCTGGGCTGTGCTATGGAACAGGCCATCGCATTGCTCATCCATCAGCTTCTTCCACTATCAGAAGGACTGCACTAACTGTAGTGAGGTTTGGGGAAAAAACTGTTATTGTGTACCGTAAGCCAACATATGATTCATAATAATTAAATTTACTTGGAAAAGGAAAAAGCAATCATATAAGTCATTATAACCAATTATATAACACAACTGCTAGAGAAGACGGAGAAGCTGAAAATCTAAGTGCAAAATGAATTTACAAGTGATTTCACCTACTGTTTACCTCTAGATCTGCTTTAACACAGATGATCATTCAAGTCTAGAGAATACTCAGACAACCTGTTGGAGTTGAAAATATTTTCTTCCATTCACTTTACAGAACAACGTACTTAATCTCAATGACTGTACCTAATACATTTCCATAGCATTTAGAACTTGTATTTGAGTATACTTATGACTTTAATGCTTAAGTAGTTGTTACAGAAACATTAGCTGGTTACAGCATAGTATTATGACATTCTCATCACAGACAACTGTGGCCTGTATATTTAGAACGTTCATTTTCTCTATCACACAGTAAGATTGGAGCCATAGAATTCTTTCCTGCACAAGATCACATCAATCCAATGCGAAGCTTTTGAGACTGTACCAGAATTTCTATTTTCAAGAAGGACGTCAATAAAAATTGTCATCATCTCTCTAAATTTTGGCAATGATGAATGTTTCAGACTCCATTTGAACTCAGAGAGCAAAGAGAACCATGACTTCGAAATAAATATGACATTTGTGAAAAGCACTGAGCATTAAGACCTTCACGTTGCTTTGTGAGTCAACCAATTTTTAAAGACCTACCTGCATTTTTTGCACTATATTAAGAGGAACAACGTATTTTATTTTTTTCTTCATTCATTGCTTAATGTTTTCTAAACTCCACACCTTTACCCACACCAATATTGCTCAGAAATAACACATCTCACTCTCTTCACATCCCATCCCACCCATCCCTTGGTCACAGATGGACACAAGCCAACTTGGTGTTAGGACTTTTCTTAAGGACTTCTCTTATCCTGTAACTCCTAGAGATAGGACCAACACTATTGCATGTGCTCAGCAATCTGAAATACTCTATCAGAATATTTTTGTCATAGTTTGTGCCAAAAAAAAAAGTTTCAACTCACTTTGTGATCCAATTAGATTGTTGGATTATTACTCAGCCACAGAAAACTGTTTTACACAACATCTGCACTGCTTCCTGAATAACTTGCCCTTACAACTGCCTTAAATGAAAACTCTCTACATTTTTAATGTATGCTTCAAGAATAATCTGTGCTTGTCTTCCAAACCTAAGCGTCACGCTGGCATCTGTCAACAACCACCAAAAGGAAAAAAAAAAATTACGTGAATTGTAATTTGAGGGGAGAATTATTTCAGGTATGCCTTGTTTCAGGATAACAATATCCTGTTAGGGCTTGCAGGCCTCTGCATAAGCACTTTGGGAATGGGGATGACAGCATAAACAAAGCGCTGAAAAAGGTTTCTTGGGGTGGAGTCCATTTTTAAACACTGGATTAAAATCCTTCTGTATCCTGAGGCTCCAAACTTTTCAAAGGTGCAGCAGTAAACCCTGAGCAGGCAAACTACTGCAGACTTGGCTCTGCAACCCTCAACTCAGGAGCCCATCCAGCTATTAAAGCTGAATGCATCGTTGTTCCCTCTGAAATACCCGACAACAAAGAACTAAAAAACAAAGACCATTCCCCTACATGGATCATGAACTTCCGCTGCAATAACCAACTCCTCGTCCCACACGACACAGCCCTGCGTTGTACGACACACCACTCCAGTCAGACAATGCACACTGCAACAAAACTCAGCCCAGCAAAGAAAGTGAAAGCTGCGTTTGTTCAGCACGTTACAGCAGCCAACTGTAATGCTCCTGCCTGCCATTTATCGCCTGCTCTGTCAAAGGATTATTAAGAATTAAGCTTCGTTTGGCAATTTTTTATTTCTTGAGAAGGGAATTTACATGCACAGTGACGGACGCTTGATATTTAACGTCTATTGGTCGGCTCTGACCCTGCGTTTACAAGTGACTCATTTGACTGCAAGGATCTCTGATGTGGAAATGCTCAGATACGAATCAATTGCAGTTTTTGTCTCGGGTAAATGTTACTTGGCAATCCAAAAGAAACGAACAATGCTCGAACCAAGGTTCACATAGAATAGCACTCATATGCTTAAAGAATTCCTTTTACATGCCCTGCTTTAGTTCTAGTAGGCGGATTTATGAGTCCCCTTCTCCTAGTAACTTATCTCAGTGCAGTGTTTTTAAACACACACAACCAGCAGTTAACTCTTCTGCTGCCTGAGTCAAAAAAAACACAGAAACACACAGACAGACTGAAATAAATACAAGCGTAGATTCGGTCCTGATAAGCCATTGATTCTTTGTGGGAGATGGGGATAGAGGAAGGATAGGAGGATGAGAAAAGGAAACATGCAGATACAGTCTGCAAATCCTTGCTCCATCAAGAAAGAATCGTGCATAATGAATGACTGTTCCTGCATGAAATCAACTCCCTGCAAATTCTGCAGTTTCCCTCTGACAGGAACAAAGTGAAATGGTATATCTTTACCCGAGTAAAACTGCTTTCCTCTTGGAAGGCAGATGCAACATTTCTATAAACAAAAATGTCTCTAGCCTTACCTTGTGCCAGCGCTTGCAACATGTGGAGCTGTAGCAACAGAAACGCCCACCATCGTCGACAGAAGAAGAAACAGAAGTTTAACTTCATCATCATTTCGTCTCGCCTGCTATTCCTCCGGGCAATAATTTCACGATCCAGCTCCCTTCCAACCATCGCTGCCTCACTGATCCCCATCCGATCCGACTGCCTGCCTCTCCTGACAGCGCTTTGGTCATCGCTCACTCGGCACCCCGAGGCCAGGCTCTCTTTGGTGGACTGGGAACATCGCCAGCTGCCTTTGCCCCGGAGTTTTGGGGGAACAGAAAGCCCCACTTCACAGGAACCGAGGGCTCTTTGATTTGTGCTCACTTTGCATGCAGCCCGAAAGCAGCACTCTGTGTGCCTCACCGTATTATAATTACCCACGAAGTCAATGTTTCTTGTGGAAGTATTGACTGCACCGAAACAACCAGTCAGAAATGTGAAACACATGTTTCTCCGTGCTGTCATATCCAATGCCTTCAACAGGGAAGGAGCAAGTTTATTGGCGTCAGTACTTCAGTAAATCCGGATCCTTCGGCACATTGCTAACAGCAACACAGAAGGATGGATCCATCTCAGCCAGCAGCACACATCCCCACAGCACCTTTCATACCGCAAGGATGACGGCAACTGTTACCCCTGTGATATTCACCAAACGTAGGGAATCTTCCGGCATGTGTCCCATTCTCCCACAAAAACCTCGGAGCGGAAGGGTTAAACTCGTGTAAAGGGGTGGGAAGAAAAGCACCAACAGGGAAAAAAAAATACTAATTGAAAGTATCTCGCTCTTCCTTGCGCCGAGGATTTATTTCAGACAATTTCAAGATTAGCCATGCAGACAGGTTAGTCTCCAGATATCCCCGCCAAGCTCCGCATAGTTTATATTAATCCGATTTTCCTCTGGATACAAATCTCTCCCGTCAATAGAAGGGGCTGAAGGGTCCTCGTGAGGTAAAGCGAGCGGCTCCGGCACTGATTGCAGCCGGCCGTGCCGTGAAACAGCCGCAGGCCGGAGGCGGCGTCACCTGAACTCACGTTCAGCCCGAGGTAGGGAAAAGCTCAGCCGGTCGTATTTCCCTCCTCCTCCAAGATTGGCGCCGGTTTCCTCCTCTTCTCAGGGCGACCAAAAAAAAAAAAAAAAACAACAAGAAAATCAATCACCTCTCGCACGTAACGCGTTCTGCTTCTGCCCGGCTACGGACGCAGCAGCGGAGCCAACCCGCAGCTGGGCGGCCTCCGGGGCGGGGGGGAGCGACATCTCCCGAAACAAACAGCAACAAGGTGAAATCCGCCCGGCTGCTCTGGCTGTCGGCTGTGCTCGCTCCGCCGGGCGGCTCTTTCCTCGCAGCGGCTGTAAACACGAAAGCAAAGCGCTAGCACCGCGGCGGCGGCAATGGGAGCGCATCCAAAGGGGAAAAAAAAGAAGCGCCGAAGGTCTTCGCGTTCAAACAATGCATCGGGTATTGTTCCAGTCCCGCCTTCCGTAAAGGGAAAAGTTTCGTGGGAGATCCCCTCCCCCCCACACACACACCGAACAGAAAGGGTAGCTCTGCCGGGCGGACACCCGGGATGCAAG